AGCTATGCGGTCAGAGAGCAAGGTAGAAACGGATTCAGTAGTGAAGAAATAAGCGGGAAAAATGGGAAGTGCCCCACGTAGAAGTGAAGTTGGGCGTTGAGGCAGCTAGGTGGGGGGGGAAGCAACCCCTACACTACCGGACGCCGCCATCTTCTTTTTTTCGAGGAGCGAAATTAAAACATCCTGCAGCCTTGCAAGGAGGGTGGGGGGGGGGGCTACGATATCCAAAGAGGGCTTGATAACATCAAATGAACGCCGGCTCTGCCTTCAGCTATTACTCTGATCGAAAGATGTTATTTCTAAGAAAAGGAACGAAATTACCATCCAGTTCCATTCCAATCCCGTCAAACTCCTGTGGTCCTTCGCTATCTTTCCAGAGCTTCAATGTCGGATAGCCTTTGATCTCATAGCGTTTAGCCAGTTCTTTCTCCACTTCTACATTAACCTTCACTAGAGGTATTTCAACTTGTCGCGCAACCTTCGCGTACACCGGAAGAAACTGCTTGCAGTGATAACACCTGAAACAGTTCTTATTATGCTGGAGGGATGTCATGGCATACCCTTTGAAATCTAGCACTCGCTCGAGTGATGAGCAAATTTATGAAATGTGAGGATTTGTCCTACACCGATGTATTCGTATCTGCGCACAGACGATATTTTACACAGCTTGAATTGAATGCTTGCAGCGAATACTAATCAATAATGATTCCGGCAGTATTAGTGAGTTCAAGGCTATATATACTGTAGTTCACTGCGGGTGAAGAGGCGAGTCAGGCATGCTATGGTGCCAAACGCGTTCTCTGCCAGCTGCTGAAGCGGGTATGCGACAAAAGCTGGTAGCAAACGAGTGATACGAATGAATGATACAGTCCCGCCCATATTTGCTCAACAACTGGTGGAGAACGTTTTTAGGCGCACCAAACTCATCCCCCAGCACGCCCCTTCGTGCGCAGCGAACTAGACTATGAGAACTTCTACTGCCACTTGTCTTTTACGAACTTTCCTGTGGCGCCACGTTCATACCAACGATAGCCAGCCGTAAATAAGACGTGGGATGAAAGAGAAGTGTAGAAACTTTGGTCACTCAGCACTCATATGGCAGAGTAGTATTCCTTCTTGTGTGTGTGAGAGTGATGCGCTCCGCAAAGTGCGGAGCTATTCGTCGCTTAATGGTGGAACCAGCTGTGGTCTATTTTTTTACGGTACCGGCTTTCTCGAGGGGTTCCTACAGCTGTCCGGAATCGCTAGAGGTTGAAGAGGCGGTGCTTGTGGGGTAGGTTCAACAACTGGATGCTACGAAGAGAAAAAAACAAAAACGCAAAAACAAAAAAAACACAAGAAAAAAAAACAAAACAAAAAAAAAAACACAAGCCTTTCAAGACGACGTTAAGTGCGAAACGTTAGCCACTTTTAATACAGATTCCATCTAAGCGAGTTCTCGTGTTAGCAGCAAGACGAACCGAATCCCTGCGCATTATCGGCCCTCACGTTTGAAGTCGTCCGTAGGGCTCCAGATTAAGAGAGCAGTGCAAGCTTCTTGAAGTGAGACTATGCTAGAGAAGAGTTTCGGACTTCTCTGGATGGAACTCGGCGACTTCATCTCTTCCTCTCCATTCAAGTCTTGAGCTGGTCAAACGTCAGGAAACCCTTGGTTTGTGGAAACGGAAACGACCACTTCAGAGAGATGAAGACCGATGGAACTAACACTGATCTTCCCATTTCTGATCATTCTGGGATCAGGCAGCGATTTCTCTGGAACATACAATTTTTACACTGACAACAAGCTAACCAGCGCAAAAGAGCGTTATCGTCTGTGAACGCGAAAAACATGAAAAGATATGGATTTTAGAGGCTCACCCAGGCGCATAAAACAGTGTGAGAAATGTCGGGTTAGCTTTGGCATAGTCATCAAAGTTCTTGTCGGTCAGGGCGTACACACCATCCTCTTTCTCGAATTCCTCGTCTCCGTATGCGAGACCCAGTAGGAACAGCGAAGTCGCCAGTAGGCGCCACATGCTAAAAAATACAAAAGATATGTGAGGAACGAGCGCCTCGTTCATAACGCGAGTGATAAATACAGCCCAAAGCAACATGTTCAGCAACAATGTGGTTCAAACGCTATTGAAATGAAGTTAAGTCTGCTAGCTTCAAACTCAGGAACTCTCAAGGAAACGGGATGAAATTGAGTGAAATTCTGAAATCAAAGAGCAGCTGACCTTAGTTAAAACCTCAGTTCGAATCCTGGGAGACGGTCAAGACAATCGCAACTTGCCACGCCGCTGCGCTCTGTGCATCATGCGGCAAAGGACGCAGCAGTGAGTAATACACGAAAACAAACCTGATATCTCAAATTTATGACCACTTCTGTTCAAGCGCTTTACTTTCTGTAAAAAGTTGACATCATATATGCGTTCAGGAACCGCACATTTGCCGACATCGCAGGCCACGCCCACCAATTAATTGTCTTGACGCATATCCGAACTCCCCACACTGAAGTTTAGAGTGAGAGCTTATGGTAGGAGACATTGCTGGGGCGCGTTTATATCTGGAAAATTGGAAAAAGCGTGAATCCGCGAGAAGGACCACACCCCAATCTATGTCGTCGGCTCCGCCCATGTGGAAAATCGGTAAAAACAAGTTTAAAGCACATCCTGCGTCCTAAATGGTGAGCTGTGTAACTCAAATACCGATGACTTGCTTGTTAATAACATAAGTGAAAAAATAGGAGAAATGCGCTCGGGATCCCCGTACATGAAGACATGCCGAACCTAGCTTGTTCGTGCGCAAGGCGAAAAAATTGCGTGAGACGAGTCCTCCGTTGTTGTCATCTTATCACCTCATCCTTAAAGAGCTAATAGTGAAACGTAGAGAGCTAGTACCATAAGGAAGAGTTTAGGAATGAATGTTGGGCGTTGTACGGACAATGAGCGGTGGTTCGTCCCTCCCTCATGGCGGGCGATCGGATGGTGCGCCACGGTCGTAATTTTCATCCATACCAGGTCTCCGCGACCGTGTTCTGATCCAGACACTCGTCCACATCCGCTAATCTCTTGTTTGACGTTGTTGATCGCCCTGCTTTGGTAGGACTCAACACAGATGCCTGAATGCGTATCGAGGCGGATTTATAACACCTGTGCGTATTAATCAATTT